TTTGGAAATTACTTTCCAACAGAGAAGAGTTGGGAAACACCATTAACAGGTAGTAAATCCCTGCAATATTGTAGGTGTGGCCCTGGGTGAGCTGAAAGAATCTTCACAATTCCTCAAATAAAAGACTCACATTGTCCCCATTTTATAGATGCAGAAACCAAGATTCAGGGATACAGTCACTGAAGGTCTATAGTTCCATGTATCCCAGTTTAAAACCTGTTACTTCACAGAAGAGACCCCAGAGTTCATAGGCAGTCCACCCTGCACTGGCTGAAGAATAGCAGGGGGACTATCAGAACTGTGTTCTCTGAGAGCCAAGGGTTCTCTGAGAGCCAAGCAGGACTTTCAGGAGGCTGAGAAGAACAGTGACATGTAAACTGGTCCTATCCCATTACCGTGGCCTCAATGTGGGACATCCCCCTACCACCCCCCCGCTAGAGTCAGGCTGGAGTTTGACCTATGGTGGGGACACAGTGATGCCGTTAGTTATAACATGTGGTCCAATATCCTGATGGGGATCACCCTGTGAACCCTTGCCTCACTATCTTGCGTGGATCTGCAGGGAGGCAGATGGTTATGGGCATCATACCCTGCCCAGAGACTGGAAAGCAGAGAGGTACTGGATCTCATTGTGTCTCTGCACTCTATGACTCACTATCCACCAAATGTGGAGGCCATGCCTGCCCTGTGTCACATTTAAAGCAGTGACACATTTATAGCAGAAATCAAGGAAAATGATTTTGGAAAAAAAAAAAAAAAAGACAGACTTTGAAGCAGCTTCCAGTTTCACGGCATTGCTCCCAGGGCCTGCCTGTCTTGCCCAGTGTCTCTGCTTGTTGCATTCATAGTCACGAGCCTGGATCACAGTTCCAGGGACAGCCTGCTGTGGGAGAATGACATGGTTGGGCCACTCAGGTTGGATCCTGAACTGTTCTACTGACTCATTGTATTGGCCAAACTAAATTGCTTAACCATTCCAGGTCCTGGCCACTTCACTTGTGAGACCAGAGGGTGGGACTCCTTGTGCTGACCATGATGGACAGTGACCACATAGGTCCTGGGTGTTTTGTGGTTTCTGCCTTAAAAGGAGAGCCATGAGAGTCCTGATTCCTAAGCAGCTGCACATGGAGTGGAAAAGCCCTAAAACCCATGCCCCAAGAGGGCTGTAACATGCTGCCTGGCTCAAGGGTCCTGTGCTTAGTGAAGCCCCTTGATCTTTCACCTGGACGCCGACAAGGCTCTTTTGATGACCTTCTGGACACCAACCTCTTTCTACTCGAGGACCCCTGCAATTTTGCCTCAGTTGTCCTTTCAGGCCTTGGGTTTTGTTTGGCCACCTGCAGGCAGGCCATCTGCTCTTCTTGTGGGATGAAACCCTGCAAGCTGATCACTCCATGGGACATCTCTCTCTCCTCCTCCCTCTCCATCTCTTCATCCCCAAACTCTCCTTGGTCTTCTAGTCCCTGCTCAGACACCATCTTTCTGAATGATCTTTCTCGAATGTGCTTAAGAGATGGACCCTGTGCCCCTGTGGGCCAGGAAGCAGTTGCTCTCCTCCATGAATGACAACCCTATCTCCCACGTCCCCACCTGGACCTTGCCCCGCTCCTCCTGCTTCCTCTTTGCTCCTGAAAGGCTGTCTCAGGAGCATGGGAACAGAGTCCTCTCAGACTCAGGTCCTTCCCCAGGCTGAACTGGAGTTGGCTGGCACATCCTGTCGCCGTCTTCGATCAGGTATTTACCCAGTAGCCGGTGGCTGAGTGTTGCATTAGGCTCTGTCTGAGTCCGTGCAGGCTGCTGGATCAAATACTGTAGTCTGGGGGCTGAAGCAACCAATTTTTATTTCTCACAGTTCTGTAGACTGGGAAGGGCGAGATCAAGATGCAGGCAGAACTAGCACCTGCTGAGGGCCTGTCTCCTGGTTTGTAGGTGGCCATCTTCTTATTGTACCCTCATGTGGCCAAGAAAAATACTGGGGCATCTTTCTGGGTTTCTTCTTATAAAGGCACTAATCTCATCCACAAATTACCTCCCCAAAGTCCCAAACACCATTATTAGGGGTTAGGATTTCAACCGATGCATTCCAGAGGATGCAAATGTTAATTGGACTGGGATACAGGTGGACAAGGCAGGACAGGGTCCGCCTTCAGGAAACCAATGGCCACACCAGCAAGTGAGGGGCTCTCATCCCCTCTGCCTTTGTCCCTTCTATACTTTCCTAATCTGAATGGTCACCTGGTGTCTCCTAATTTACTCCTGACTCATCGGCTGCTTGGTTCCCGGATGGTCTCTCTGGTTCTGATCTGGTTTCCCGTGTCCACAGGGCCACACTGCCTGTTGGATTCTACCTGCTCAGATGCAGCCCCTCCCACATGGGACCTCCTTCAGGCTCCTGGGGTCCCCGGGGTGTTACTCACCCCTACCTTCCCCTGGCTCAGCAGAAGCCCCAGGTTCTCTGTTGAAGAGGATCAGGCCTCACTTCTCAGGGGTCACCACCAGCATAGCCATCCTCTGTGAGGTACCACTTCCACCGAGACCCTGAGCTTCCTGACATCAGGGAGACCTTTGCGTACCTCCCACAGAGCATCAGCAGAGGACAAGCCTTACAGGGAGGCAAGGATCTCTCAAGGGAACAACCAACTCTGGTTTCCTAAGGTAGAAACTGTGTCCAGAATGTTCTAGACTAGCTCTGCCTGTGGGCTACAGGTGCAGAGTGGAAGGTGGCATCTGATTTTAGCTCTTCCTTTTCCCGGAGCTATGACCTTAAAGAATCTCAGAGCGTGGAGCTGGGAGAAAAAAACAGAATCATCTGTTTGAATCTGTTAATTTAAAGATGAGGAAAATTAGGTCTCGAGAAATGAAAGAAGCTGTCCCAGCTGCCAGATGCTGACCGAGAACAGCCCTTCCACACCCCAGGCCAGGAGCGCTGTTCATGGTCCCTGTCATCAGCTCTGAGCTCCTTAGAACTCCTCTTCTCATTAAGCCTCCTTGTGTGCCTTTGAAATTTATGCTCCTCTTTTTCTTTGTAATTTTCTTGAGGAGAGCAAGAAAGACTAAAAAAGAAAATCTAATTTAGAAAACAAGTAATCCTGAATCCTTATGTCCAGGTTTCAAGAAACCCCAGAAAACCTTTTTCTCCTTTATTTTTTTTTCTTGCTTAAATTTGGACTCAGCAGAAGGAAATAAATGAACCAAGACAAAGAGCAGCCTTACAGCTTGTCTTCTCAAATGCTTTCTCCTTTCTTTTCCCTCCCTTGACTGGCAGGGAATGCAGCTTCTAATAGACCATCAATGTTCACGATGAGCAAATACAATAACAACAGCGAATTACCCTTTCTGCAGGTCTATGGATGTGTTCATAGTGGAATTTAATTTATAGATGGTCATGGCTGAAAGATTCTGGATGCGTGATAGAAAACAACATGAAAAACCAATAAGTGCATTTTTAAAAAACTCTCAGAAAATTTGATTTGTGCCTGGTCAGTGCACACCAGTAAAACCCCCAAGGAACAGAAGCCTAAGTGACCTTTGCCTGTGGTCTGTGGAAATGCCAGAGGGGGCTTGTGCTTTGAGTGCAGGAGGGACTGCTAGAGAGGGGGGGCCCTCCAGGAGAACAGTCTTCCCTCCATCCCTTTGTTCAACATTGTCTGACTCCAGAGAGTCCAAGAAAAGAAGGGAAATCAAGGCCGGGAGGAAATGAGAATGTCCAAGGCCAGCTGCTGGGTGTGGCTTCTGCCTCCTCTCCTCTGGGGGTCCCCAGGGCCTTTCAACGTCTCCGTTTCTGTCCATACCTCTTATCACTTCTGGCCACCCACCCAGCATGCTGCAGAGTCTGGCTAAAATCTGAAGCTTCCACTACCCACTGTTACAGCCCACCCATCTCCTGAGCATGGCACATGGGCCTTCCTCCGTTGGTCTGTGGAGACTCTCCACTCTTCTCTCCCTTCAGCGCCAGCTTTGCACCTGAAGGCAGTGCCATGAGACTTGCCTCCCTGAGTGGGTCTGACCCTGCAGTATACATTTCACCCATTCTTTCTACAGTTTCTAGGGTGAAAGGCCCACAGACTAACAGTCAAGGCCAGCTTTGTGGTTCTAGGCCACCTGGGTTTGTCCTGCAGCCAACCGAGTATTGAGACAGATTAAGAGACTTGCCTTCATCTCTCAGTGCAAAGATGACATTGGTGCATTTACATATTCCCAGCCCTCAGAATGGGGTTCTGCCCACAGGAAGTGTTCAACACGATTGGCCTAAAGTGATACAGCCGAGCTTTAATAGAAGATCTGTCCAGCATCACATTCCTCAGGAGAAAGCGAAAGTTTGAAATAAGTCCCTAAAACACAAGGGAATGGATCAATTGCCTTGTGAAAGACTCTACTTAAGTATGTGTCAACCAGTTCCTCTAGTCCTATTGATAGCTTATGGGTGAAGCTTCATTCCTATTTTACAGATGGAGAAGAAGATGCACAGAGAGGCAAAGCATATTGCCTGCAGCTGTACAGCTCTAAGTGCTGGAGTGGGATGCAGTAAAAGGCCTGTCTTTCTCTAAGACCATTTCTTTCTATTGCATCATACTTGGGTTCGTGGAAATGGAGAGGGGCCAGGATCCAAAAGTTATCCCAGGATTTGTATGCTGTTGTCCAACCTAGTTCCTTTCCCCCACTGCTGAGCTCTGAGCTGCAGCAGGTCTAGCTTATCATATGGGTTGGCAACACCAGTTTTCACAGCCCCCTATCAAAAGATAGCCAAACCTGGAAAAGCAGGGTTGGAGCTAATCACTGTAATACATCCTCTCTTCTGTGCTGCCCAGGGACTCTTTAAGAGCATCATTTGGCACTGGGGGTATTTAGGTTTTGCTATATTTTGAGAATATTATAAGAATTAAATGAGATAGTGCATGCAAAATACTTAGAATAGTGTTTGGAATAGGGTAAGTCCTCAATAAACATGTAGGCTGGAAATCTTTTCCAAATTAATTCAATAACACATTTTTCCCCCTTAGTGTGCAATATGAGCTCAGAGTGAACCATTGAACCAAGCAGAGTTCCTGCCTCCCGTGGAATAAAGACCAAAGGACCCTGTTCTTGGAATAAAGGAGACTGACCATAACAATCAACAGAATGAATCAGGAATGGATGTGGCACGTGGCAGGTGGAAGGTGCTCTGGGAGGACGGGAGTGCCAGGTGGCTGGGGTGGGCAGGCAGGCGGGGTATTCCACGGGCTGGTCAAGGTGAGAAGGAGAGAATGAGAGAAGGCAATGTGGCTTCAGCTATGAGTCTCTGAAAGAAGAACCTCAGGTCCAGGGAATGAATGGAGCAAAGGTCCTGGGGCAGGAGTGCAGCTTTCGGTGGAGTCACAGGAAGGAGGTTGTGTGGTTAACCTGGGGTGAGTGCAGGGTGGACGACAGAATCAGGGCCAGAGATCTGGGGACTCAGGGCAGGGGCAGTGAGGCCCTGCAGTCACTGGGAGGCCTTAGACTCAGGCTCCAAATACACGAGAAGCCAATGTAGGGTCCAGGTGCTCCCAGGGATGTGTCCAAGCATCTCCCTGCCTGTGGCCTGCAGAGTACATGGATTGGTGGGGATGTGTCCTACAGAAGTTCAAGTGTTGGAAACAAACATAATCCCCAAATTTGTATGTTAATGGTGCTCGGAGGTGGAGTCTTTGGGAGATAATTAGGATTCATCAAGGGCGTGAGAATGGGGCTCCATTATGGCTTTATTAGGAGAGGAAGAGGCCCAGTCACACTGGCTCTGACTTGTCACACAATGCCCTGTGCCACGTTATAGTGCAGCAAGTAAGCCCTCACCAGATGTGGTGCCACACTCTGGACTGCACAGCCTTCAGAAGGTGAGCTAATCAGACTTTTTTTCTTTATAAATTACCTGGTTTCAGGTATTTTGTTATGGGAACTAAGACAGGGATAACATAGAAGGAGAGAGATGGTTTTGGAAGCTGTTGCAATAACCCCAGCAAGAGATGGTGTGCTAGGACCAGGGTCAAGGTGTGGAGGTATTATTCTGCTATTAACAATAGCTGAGACTCTGTGGCGGTCTCCTGTCACCTCTCCCAAGTCGGCTTGCAGAGTTATTCTCCTCTTCATAACTGTTTCCCTAGAAACCACTACACAACCAAGTTTCCCAGTGTTTCATATTTTCCTCTGTTCTTTTCTGTATAGTTTTTCTAGCTTCTTGGCTTTGTCTTCGGCAGTCTGCTGGAGATGTTCTGTCCCACCTGGAGTACTGATCACACTGTGCTTCCAGAGGAAGCAGAGAGCCGGGGCTGGCCTTGTGCCCTGAAAGCTCAAGTCACCTGCCGTGGTGACGCCAGGCCAGCTGGAGATGGGTGAGCAGCCCTTGATATCTGGGCTTGCCTCTCCAGATCCTGCTTTCTCCAGCCAGGAGATAAGATTTCAGACCGCGTGAGCACTGAGATTGCTGGCTCCAACTTCAGAGCAGTAAATGGCAGTATTCAGGTAAAGTCCCAAGTCTGTCATCAGGAAGTTGGTAATAAAGGAAGCACTCAACATGGGACCCGCACGGTGGGAAGAAGATGAGCAGGGCCCCTGTGCGGTACCGAGTGTGTGTGGGAGTTGCTCACATCGGCACTGCAGGGCTGAGTTCTGCAATAACATTTTAAGAGGTTTCTATGCTAGATGTTAAAAACAGCCATTATTAAAACTTAAATTATGTAAAATTACAAGTGAATAAGTTATATTAAAAGAAAACATAATAAAAACACCAAGTGCACCACTTTCTAGTTATTTTGCTGAATTTTTCTATTGTTTGTGGTCTTAGTTTTATGTACATCTGTTACCTCTGTATGTGGGAAATGGGCTCTATGCTCTCTTCCCCACTCTGCAGTAGTGACTTCACACAGACAGCCTGACATTGGCCATGGGGGGGATATTTACACCACGGAAATTGGCACAGGTGACAAATCAGGGGTTGGTTCTTATTAAGAAAACGACTTGAGAAATTTAACTTAAAAGTGTACCATGTCTATAGTTGTAGCACTGTGCATATTATAAAAATTGAAGAGGTTATCTTGCGATATTTGAAATTATTATTTGATTCAGCAAAGAATTTGCTTCTATCTCTGATGAACAAGTTCTGACATATGTCCCTGTTGTTTTGCTTATTAACATAAGGAAAAAATATGCTTTTCCTTTACATTAGTGAGGAAATATTGCTGTCAGAACTTCCTCATCCGTCAACTGCAACACAGATTTGCCAAGGATATAAGAGTTCAGCAAAAAAAATCAATGAAACCATTCTGTGAGAATCGATCGACTATGTGGAATTGATGATAAAGAATACTGTGTATTTCACTATTATTTGTAAATGGCGTGCTACAAATCTCTTATTTCAGTAAAACGTACAATAAACTTGTGCATGTACATATGCATATCCCGGCCACGAGTGTTGTTTGCCACTGGCTACTGCACCTTGAACCTCTGCCACTCATAGTGTCCTATGGTAAAGTGAGCTGCCATGGTTTAGATATGAGGTGCCCCCCTGATTCTCATGCAAGAGAGTTGAGAAGTGAAATCACTGGGCTACAAGAGCCTTCACCTGAGCAGTGCATTAATCGGCTGATATGGATTAAATGGGTGTTAACCTTAGGCACATGGGGAGTGGCTGGAGGAGGTGGTCCCACGGGTGGTGTGCCTTTGGGGTTTATATTTTGTCCTTGGAGAGTGGAGAGTTCCCTCTCTCATTCTCTTTTTCTGCTTCCTATTTCCATGTCCTGAGCAGTTTTCCTCTAAATGCCTTTCCGCCATGAGGTTCTGCTCACCTTGGGTCCAGAGCTCTCAAGTTGGCCATCTGTGGGCCTCTGAAACTATGAGTGTCAAGTAAACTTTTCCTCCATATGTTCTCATCACATCTTTGGTCACAGTGACAAAAAATATGACCAAAACATGAGTTTAGCTTGGCGGCCAGTTACAGCTGGCACAGGGCACATCTGGCATTAGAACCCCGGTTTCTGGCCTGATGCAATAACTCCTCCGCTCTCAGCCACACGCTCTTCACCTCTAGAGCGAGATCAACAACGATGTTTCAGTGGATGCACGATGGGGCTGGGAGCACAGTGAAAGTTAATTCTATTCTCCTTTCAAGTACAGGAACAAGGAGAACAAATCCCTTAGAATTTCATCCCTTTTGTCCCAAAGTGAGTGTAAATTAGGGACCTCCTCCTCCCTTCCCTAATGTGCTTACTCCTCAATATTCGTTTTGCTATTCTCCGAGTTCAAGTCCCCTGCGTCTGCAGTTGTAACTGGAGGAGCTCTGAACCCAGGGCAGAGCCAAGTCCAAATGTCCTATTTCCTCCTATAAAAATCTTGGTTGATAGGACTAATGTGAAAAAAGGGGAAGAAAAGATCCAGAATTCTTCTGAGAACTGCAGGGTGACCTGTAGCTGCGAGGTGCAGGCTTCTCATCAAGGGACCAACGCTGGTCATTGAACTGCTTTCTTGCTTCCGTCTTTTTCTGTGCTAGGCACTTAGTAGGTACCAACCCTGTCTGCTGTAGTACACTGTAATGAGATGACATTCACCTTTGCTCAGAGCACTAAAATAAAGGCCGTAATAGGTGATTCATGACCTGAGGCAACCTTCTGAAGCTCGTGGCTTGACTTCCGAGGAACTCTCACTATTATTCTGTTCTCCCTGAACCATGAACTGAAAAGAAGGAGAGAGAGGAGGTGAAAATATTATTATTATTATTATTATTATTATTATTATTTCTGGCAGGTTCACTCTGTAGCTCAAGCCCTTGTCTTCTGTCCAGGATGAGCAGGGGCAGGCGAGAAGGAACAGCTTTTGTGTTTGTTTTTCATCCAGGGCTGGAGGGAGAGGGTGAGCAGGGCGTGTGACTCATGTCAGAATCACTAGCGTGTCCGTTGAGAAGCAAAGAGGAAATGGGCTTCTGCCAAAGTGTCAAGATCTGGGGACAGTTTCTTGAAAACGATAAACACGAATTCACCATACAACCCAGAAATCCACTTCTAGGTCCGCGTCAGAGAAATACAAATCTGTCTCTATCCACAGACCTGTGCACAAGTGCTTGCAGCAGTTTCATTCATGACGGCCCCCAAAGGAAAACAACCTAACTGTCCACTGACGGGTGAGAGACCAAATGGACAGGCCTGTGCAGCAGAACAATCTAAAGGAATGAATAGCACACACGCTACACCATCCTTAACCGTAATGCCGAGAAAAAGAAGCAGGAGACCCAAGAGTTAGACTGTAGGGTCCACTTATCTGACCCTCCAGAGAAAGACAGTCTATGGAGATGGAAAGTAGGTTAGCGGTTGGTTGCCTGGGGCAGGGCGGCGGTTGAAAGACTGGAATTAACCTTCAGTGGGTGTGAGGCACCTTCTGGGGGCAAGGCAAAGGTTCTAAACAGATTTATGGTGATGGTCACACAATCTGGCAAATTTACTAAAAAATCATGAGTTGTAATATTTGAAACCGGAAAGTCAGCTGACATGTACAGTGTCCCTAAGTCAGTTCATGTTTAACAGGGGTGTCTCTTTTTTGCTCCAATCAGTTGTGGAAGCACATCTCAGTTCTCCTCTCCCATGGAACCACATGGTTGCCTGGACGCTCTACCCCACAGGCCACCCACCTCAGTGACATGGGGTCTCATGAGTCCTCCTTAGCTGTGCCTGCTGGCAGGGGAACACCTGGGCCCAGTGCTCTGACCCATGTTGCCACACTAGTCAGAGCTACGCATGCTGATTCCCCATAAGGAAAATAAACCCACTCTGGTTTCAGGGCTCTGTGCTTTTAAGCCCCTCAGACCCCTTGCGCTGCTGCCGAGGAATCAGAACAGACACCCAAGGAGGCAGGTGGAGTCTCGGGACTGTGCCGCCTGAGGTCGATTCCTTGTTGGAAATAAAATCAAACATTCCTCTCACCGCATCTTGGCTGCTCTCTGAGTGACAATGACCTCACAGCTGGGTTATTAGAAGGAGCTTCATCTGTGCAGGAAACACTGGCGTGTGTGTGTGTGTGTGTGTGTGTGTGTGTGTGTAGGGGTTGTAGGTGGAAAAAGAAAAAAAAAAAAAGAAAATTAAAGAAAAGAAAGGGAAGGTGCAGGAGTGTGAGCGGGTGGGGATAGATCTCTCTGATTCTCAAAACACAAAACACCAACAGAAAGGCAGCTAGATGGTGCCGCGGCCCCCCACCTGGCTTTCTCACTTCCATTTTGCAGATGAAGAAGCTGAGTCCAAGGGAGGTGACATGCTCCCCCCACACCGCCCCCGACACACACACTCCCTGGGGAGTCTCAGGGGACAGAGGAGGGAGCCTCCACAGCTGGCCCAGTTTTCTTGCCTCGAAAGAGTGTTGAGAACTCTGTAGCCTGGACTTCCCTGCCTTGCCAGGGTCTTCACGGCCAAGTGAGAAACCCCTGTGTGGGGAAAGGGGAGGAGCCCGACACTGTCCATCTCCTTGTGTCTGCCCCTCTCCTCAGACCCTTCAGGACTCAAGGCGGAAACAGGAAACTGAAGTCCAGACAGGGGCCCACCCTGCCCACTCTTTGGGCAGCAGCTCTTCCTCTTCCTTTCCTGCGCTGTGTGATTTCACCAGGAGCTGTCCCTTCACCTGGGACCACCTGCTTCATCCTTTCAGTGGAGTTTTGGCACCCACAGTCTCCACACCAAAAGCAAGGCCCCAAACCTTCCTGTCACTTGGATTGTCCCCTCACTCGGGGATTGTCTTGGCTGCCCCAGGACTGTTACCTGGTGATGCCGGGTGGGGCTGTCTCCAGCCTTGCTGTCCTCCCTTGCATTTCCCAGTGACAACACCATTTATTCCATCCCTGGCACATGCTGTCTTGTGCTCGTGAGGCTCCTCCTACCCGGGCTGTGCCCCGCTAGTGCCTCCTCAAGGAGGTTTGTTCTCCTTGTCGGTCCTGCTCAGGGCCCCTGCCTGCCTGCCGTGACCACGCCCTCGTTCTCTGGATTTTCTGCGCTGACTTCTCTGGTGCTGTTTGCCGTATCATTCTGTAACTGCTCTTTTGCTTGCCCCTCTGTGCCTTGAAGCAAAACAGAAGCAGCCTCCCAAAGAGGGCAGACAAGCTGCAGTACATCTGGAGGCCAGGAGACTCTGGAGGCTGGGGACTGTACCTTGCCTGGCTTCTAATTGCCAGCTCCAAGCACAGCTCCTAGAAAGTTGATATTATTAAACGTTTATAGGGATAGATGAGCAACCCACCTCAAGAAAGCTAAGTGTCAGTGAGGCCTTTGCATTCCGGGGTTCAGTGGATTCCTTTGTGTCAAGAGCATAGTCTTTGACAGAGCTCTTGCTAGAAATGTGGCATCTGCCTGACTCCAGGGGGATCCAGTTGAGACTCCCAGATGTTAGCCATTGGAATCTCCAGCCCTCGATCTCATTCTATCCTTAGATTCCCTAAGCCAATGCCAGCTTTACTGCTATTCTTCTGTCCTCCACAGGAAGAGGTTAAGGAAAAAAACTCAAGAAAAAGGATGATGCACATTCTGAAAACTGAGGGGCAGCTGACTTTCCACAAGGGCTCTGGACCCAGCGCTTCTCAGTGAACTTTCTTTGTATGCAGCTCCCAAATTTCCCACCGCTAGCCTATTGTCCCATGATTAGATGCTGGGGCTCCACAGGTAAGAGATGACAATTCTAAGGGTAATTGAACACTCCACAAATTTTCACAGTGGATCAGCACTGAACCATTTAGCCCAGGTATTTCTGTGATTGCAATGCTGAGAAAATGTATGCCGTTAAATGGTTCTCAAATCACTCTTTCCTCTGAGCAAAACAGGACTTGGTATTTGCAGTGTTATAAAAGCAAGTGGCTTGGGAACAATGACTGCTTAGAGATTAGGGGAAAAGAAGCTTTTGTTGGAAATTTGAGTCCTTGAAATCTAGGCATCAAAGATTTAAAGAATAGAAAATACTTAAATGTCTTTGAGGTCTTTACCCTTTTATTTGATAAATGTGATGCAGATTGTCAGGGGCTCAGCCAGGCTGTCATGAAGATTATTCCCATTATACAGATGCAGAGATGGAATTCTGTGGTCACACAGCTTAACGCGGGTGATTCTGGGGATAAATTTGGATCACAGTTTTCTCCAGATAAGAATTTTTTTTTTTTTTTTATCATTCATGTGACCATTTAAAGACATAAAAGAAATGTTATCCTTCTTTGATGGTTTGGCTGGTTGTTACAGAACAGCTCTTGGCTAGCTGTAACATAGAAAGAGGGTCTTGGTACCACCTTCTTTGAGATGGTGCAGGGCAGAGAGGGGTCTTCACAGCACAGCAGGGATGGCTCCCCCCAGGGGCTGCAGGTTCCCTCGGTTGCTTTATTGACAAGGTCGTGGTTCTGGTATCAAACCTGGTGCCATGGTTTGGCAGAGGGAATGCAATA